CGAAGTTATAGGTGATATGAGATCCAGGGCCATCAAAGATTAACAGCCGGGGATCACTGCCACAAATTGCCCGTGTCTCTGGTTCAAAAACAAATTCCAACCACTCTAGAGCTAGGCGATCATCTACCCATCCCCTAGGCGAGTAGTTAAACTTGTAACTTTCATTTTCTTTCTTTAGGTTCCTATACTATCCAAGATAATAACCAGCATCTTTATTGATAATAAAGGGTAAAAGAGCTGTACCGTTACCACAGATAGTCTCTATAATGGTAACAAGTTCACACTTCCCATCATGAGTGACATGGGAATTTCTTCGTCCACGGCGGCATAAAACCTTTGCCTGCGAGGCCACTCCCATCAAAAAACCTTTCTCGTCCATATTAAAAATCTGTGAAGCAGACAACCCATTCATTCTAATCAACCAAGACAGCTTATTGAAATAGTCTTGAATTAGTACAGGATCCGTTGCATATGCCCTTTGCCTTTCTAACTGTGTACTGAGTTTAACAGCAAGATTTGGATGATGCTTAAGGAAGCGGGACATCCAATTCCTCTCCATCGGTTCGCATCTGACTTTGGTTCACTTTTCTTCTAGATGCCTTGCCATATCCCATACCATACTGAGCCTTGGCGGAAACTCATTGTCATCTTGGTCAAAACACCATCTCACAATCACCTTCTTCTCTGATTTCATCAGCCGTTGCTGTCCTTCATAAGCCTCTGCATGACTAGTTGAAGTTCCAGCCAGTCTTCGGTAGAGGGTCCACTTGTCCACTTCGAAGGCTTCGCTGACTTCTGCGACACTCTCTTCCTCTCCAGATCTTCTTGCTTGGATTGCTTTTTGGAGGCGAACCTCATATTGAGGATCCTTACTTCGTCATGGAGGCATTGTGGTTGCAATAACCCTCCACCAGAATACCCTCGGCAAAGCAGGGTATCATACCATAGATCGACTAGCATCATTTACGCCAAGTCCAGCTTGTGTCACATCCCGGTTTTGTGTCACTTCCACGTGATTTACGTTACTGTGGAAGCTTTATCGATATCAATTCTCAGCATCGTCAGCAGCAAACAAGATTCACAATATACTAAAGTTGGCCCTCCGTCCCCGGAGCAAGGGACCACCTAACGACTGATAGCAAGCTGAAAAATACCGTAATTACTCGAATATAGGAAAAATGTGCTAGGACGTTGTGATTGCTCCTCGTAGTAAGGAGCTGTGTAGTCTACTTTCTTCCTTCTTGTCTTAGTTGGCCAGGCTTTTGTGGTTTGCCTACACCTATCCCAGAGGAGGAATTCAACAATATAGCATATTTTTCTCGTGTTGGGGCACTTACGGTATCCGAATTGCTTGCTGTTCCACTACTTCACAATACCTTTATCTCTTCCCGTTTTTGTTTGTCATTAAATCTTGATATGTGCTACTGTCCTAGGTCCTTTCTTGGCTGCTTTCGACGCAAGCACTCGTACAATACCTTCGAACCCTAAAATTTCATTCACGGTATATATGAGTTTCCAGAACAGTATCTTCCTGCCCCGATTCGGTTCGCACATGGGTAAAAAATTGTGATTACGAAATTATTTCACCCTCCAGTCGGCCGCACAGATATAAAGGATGCACCCGTGCCTATGCGCCACCGGCGGTGTAAGCGGTGGGCATTCCAGGTTTCGGTAACGCGGAAGGTAGTCGACCTCTCTCACGGGTGGGCTAAAGTTGGGGGGTATGCAATTTGGTCCTCCCTCCATATTTCATATTCTTCAATGACGAGAATCATGAGGAAGATACTGAAAGTATAATTTTCCCACCCGTGCTGTAGTATGTGATTGTTAGTAGTACTGGAAGAATCACAGTGAGTCTGGCGAGGTGTACTACATCTCTGATGGAAGATTACTTTAAGCATGGCTCAAGTCCCTCTAGCTAGTTTTGCTCTTAAAGCTCTTAAATATCATACCTGCCACGATATCGAAGTGAGTTTTGATCCGCCCGTCTGTAGCAAAGGTGGGTTTTATCGAGCTCTAGAAAAACGTCCATCCACCGATAACAATCAGACCTAACATTTCCACACCGGCGGAATACTGCTACTGATATTGCTGCGCTGACCTGGATCTGGCAATGGATGTCCTATTTCACCCTTCCTTCCTCCTCCACTATTTTTGTATTACCGGAGAGTCTGGCTAACCGGAACTCTGGGAAAAACGGGTTTCTAGCTCAGTTCAGTCTGAGGTTTCTCCGGTGGACTAAAACGCCCATTTGTTGCCTCAGGTCTTCCTCAGTGGAGCCCGGCGAAGATCTCATCTCAGCACCCACCGAAAGTGCACCGGGAGGTCTACTAGAAAGATCTTCAGAAGCCATGATACAACTTCCAGCAGCAGAGCTCGTTTTCCGTACTGCGCTTAACCCCACGTTGATGGGGAATGTGGCTTACCCGTTTACCCCGGCTCGTGAGATAAGATGGCAGGGATAGACTATCCCTTATTATTCCGCTCATCTCGTCCGGTGTGGTCCGGGCATAGGTCTTACAAGTATTTCCCATAAGTCATCTGCTAGTGATACGGGTATATAGTATAATGATTATAATCAATTGTTTCTGGTCACCTCTGGCAGGGGAGGGTTTGCGGGGACAGGCGGCTGGCGGCTGTGTTTTTTCCACATAATTCAAGCCAGATTGATAGCTAGGATAAACTTATATGCCGACCACATCTACAGTACAGCACTCCCTTCACCCCGGTGCATAGTACTTTCACCTCTATAAATGCATAGTTTAAAGGTATCATAACCAAGGAACCTGACTCACCCGATTCCTTTCACCTGACTACCGCATCGTACCGGACTTGAGTAAACCAAACCCGACGCCAACTAATCCCGCTGACGAGTAAGCCTTACGATAGGACTCGGCGAGGGATATTTTTTTGTCCGCATTGAAGAGCCTGCGCCGCGCTCCCCGACAGTGCCGGTGTCCGACCGTTCAGATTCTGTTGGAAAAGATTACAGTACCCGTAAGTGAGGGTAAGGATCGGACAATCTTAAATTTATCCTCTACAAGTAACAGGATGGACGTGCCAAGTGGCTTGAGAGGAAAAAAAGGAAGGAAAGAAGTTAAATTCACCATGGCGCAGATCTTTATGCCCGGATGCCGTGCCGGTACTGTACAGTACGACTACCGTAAGCTCGTGATAAGTCCACCCATTATCGGGGATCCGGGAGCTTGGCGCGCTTGAAGGTGGGAATCAAAATGCATATCAACGGGAAATTGCAATACTAAGCCACAACATTCTTTGCGGAGCAGGTTAACAGAATTGCGTATACCAGTTAATGAGATCTACTATTACAAGTACCAAGTTTGGTTTTGCCCCAGGTGCTCGAGCACAAGTGGATAAAGTATACCGCAACTGGAAAGCACTATCTCTTGTCCGTGTTTGCTCATATTAACGATCGTGGATTTAACGAGAGGTTCCGGCATCATACCTTGCCATAGACTAACAATACCTTTCAGCGTTACCATCTCGCTTGCGAGGCTAAAGCCTTCATATTCTCGTCTATTGCATGAAAAACCACCGGTGAAACCGTGGGTGGTTATCGAGAGATTCCAGCTTTGATTCCGGAGAGAAGGGTGGGGGAGATTGTAAACTCTGCGGGGTGAGACAAACCTTAAACCCCCATTCTTCTCACCTCATCATCTATAACTTAACGAAGGACCTGAGCGAGGCTCTCCATCAAAGGTTAGCGGTTTCGACGGATTAACTTCATGCTTCCTCGCATATGAGCGCGGACAGTAAGATGGAGATACCGGTATGATGACGGGTTATGCTGGAGGATCCGCATGAACCAATTGCTGGGAAAAAAAACAAAATGCGCCTATCCCGAGATCTCGTTTGTTGCGGATCCCCCAACACGATCGGCGGACATGCATAAATTTATGATGCTCGCGCGTACTGAACGTGGAGATAAGAGGTGTTTTACAATCGTGGGCTCCCGGGATGTTTGTTTACTCTACTGGACCCCGAGATACCGGTAAGGGGTTGCGTACTTGATAATCTATCCAGTGCTCCTGCAATCCCCAATGGCCTGGATGGTGGGGCGATGTCCATGTTTATCGTAAAATCTACTATCCAGCGCTGCAGTACGACTCTTCGACGGGAGTACTGTACCGGCATCGTACTCGTACTCTTCTTATGCAGCACACACTCCAGTGGCCGAGGATAGCGCAGAAAGTGGCGATGATCCCTAGCTGAATATCGCTTCAAGCTGAGAATACTGCTGCCTGCTGCTATTGTACGACGTTTGGTGGCGGTTATCGCTATCGGTGATCTGGGCATTTTTTGTCATCCATGTTGTCCTAATTCCCCGATGGGTTCCGTTCACCCCTTTCATCAGAGAAATGTACGAGTTGCTGTCCCAGCCAAGAAGTATCCGAAAATACTTGTACGAGTTGTGAGCTTGTTTGGACGTGCAGATACGCACGGATATTTTACCATACTCCAGTATTTTGCGAATCCCTGTTTCCGGATACTTATTTCCGGGGACAAGTACAGTACCAGCATCATGGGTTTTTCTCGTTTTCGGTAGTGGTGGTTAAATTATTAAAGCGCTCCAGGATTAGAGCCGCCAATATGAGGGAGGATGGTGCCGTGAGCCCCAAGCATCGTGCAGATTAGGAATATGAAATCCTCTCAAGGGCTTAGCGCTCTGAAGATTAGAAGACAGAACCTTCTTTTGCGGGGCCCGCTTCCAAACAGGACATAACGGCTTCCCGAAGAAGTCTACACCGCGGCTTGAGAACCCGGGAGAACCAGATTCCATCCCTGCCATCACACAGTCCCTTTTTTCCCAGTTCTCATTTACATGGAATTGAATTCACCGCCCCCGGAGCTTACCACAGGGTTGGTGCTCGGGCCAGCCGGTATGGGGGGGGGAATCGTACAGTAAGCTGACGGGAGGGACTGACTACAAAAAAGCTTGAGTCCCCAATGAAATCCTGTTGGTTGACACACTGTGGCTCGGTCCAGCTTGGTTTCTTTTTGACTACCGTCCTTTCTTTTATATAACATATTTATCTTCCACCTTTCTCCTTCGCTTTGTTCTGTCGGCCCAAGGGCAGCTCATCCGAGGCCTTTCATTCCTTTTCCTCTTCTTTTCACTGCCTGCTGTGCGGTTACGACTTAAAGTGATTTATCACTATTCCACTCTTTTTTCCCATAATCAATAACCCGCGCCGCGAACACAACCCAGCACTCGAATTTGTCGACAGTATAATCAAAAAAAAAAAAAAAGCATACACATACTTCATAGATTCCGCTCGATACACTGACGCCGGTGTAATTTCTGATAGCTCTTGATCATTCAGCGTGGCAGCTGGAAAATCTAGCGCATCAAGATCAATCCCGTCAGACATATTCACTATATCCAACAAGCACCCAAGCGAAGCGAAGAATATCAAACAATCCAAGATGTTGGCCAATTTGTTCTCCGTTTTCCATTCTTCAAAATCGGCCAGGGCCCCAGCATCCCGATACAGGCCTTCAAGAATCACGGGCGAAGAGCACTTTAACCTCCTCGCATCCCTGCAGATGGCTGTGCACGACCAGTCGGTGCAATGTGAAAAGCCATCCTCTGCGGCTGAGATGCTACACGGCACGAATGGGACAAACCTGAGGAAGCAGGTATGTGTCAGGTGTTTGTTTTCTCGTGTTCTCTTTTCTCACGTTATCCCTATTCCCCACCTCAGCTATTAGAATTGAGGAGGGGGAGGTACTAAGCAGGGGGAGGAGGAAAGAAAAGCACTTTTTCCACAGGGCTTGACTTGCTTTTCCGAATTTGCTTCTTTTCTTTTCTGTTCCGAATTTCTCCTCGGGTTCTCCTTTTGCTCAGCTCCCGGGATCTATCAGATGCTGACTCCAACGTACGAGTAATAGGGCCGCTTATGTTTAACTTTTGCACTAAAAAACTACACTTCCACCTCCGACCCAGAGAAGATCCGCATTGCCAACGAGCTTGAGGAGGCCATTGACGCCGCATACTCGGATGGGGATTACAGACATAGGATATATCATATTGGTGGATGCCTTAATGCAAGTCTCCATTCTTCCCTTGCTTTGATGATTTACAATCAACACGATCAGCACATGAAGAAGTACGCTACTAACACAATAACATTAGGAAAATCCACTGCTCCTCCAAGGCATCCTAACTGGTGAATTGGCTGTTGAGAAAATTGCAATTTCAGGCGCGAGTGTGCGTATTCTCTTCCCCCAACCTCACGACTATATCCATCTGACTGACTAATGTATTGCTATAGGGCCTATCACCTGCCACCTCCCCGATCCACGAGAAGGGTAGCGCATTCGGGATAGAATCTGGATGGTGCTAGTGGGAGTATAGAAAGATGAACAAGCATGGATGCGAAGTGAAGTCAAGTAGCTTTTTCGGGAATTATCTGAGATTTTTTTATCTTATATCGTAGATATAAGACCTTTTTCTTTTTTTTTTTCTTATAGGCCATGTATAAATTATTGTAGGTTATTCTGAATGAAGGAACTTTCATCCCTATAACACTCTACCTACTCTACCGGTAGTACCGGTAGTAGTTAAACCACAGCTGTGCTACGATACCCGCCAGTATTTTTTACTTCCTCGACCAAGGGGAATGGGGCATGCAAGACAGGAATTACCACGCACGTCCCTCCCCTCCCCTTCCCTTCCCTCCCTTCCCTTCCCTTCCTTTTCCACCTTTCCATCCTGTCGCGCATCAAGTTCTTCCGTGAGACAGTTCTGTGATACGAGTAATTTAGCACAGTACTCGAGTACTCGTACAGTACAAGCACGAGTATTATATCATACGGCACGGTAATTTAGGTTCAAGGACTTCTGAGTGGCAGTACTACCGTAGAAGCAAGGAGCAGCTAGCCGACAAAATGATTGCGCGACGCTCGGGGGCGGCGGTGGGGATATTGTGGACAATATACTGGAGCACAAAGTATTTGTATTGAGATTTCACTATCCATACGTGGGGTGCGTGTGTGCCGTGTGTGTGGGGATTTATCATACCTTTGAGGAATTCGGTTTTCTCCGCCATTTTCTGGGGTACAGTACCGGTACTTACCCATGGTGACCACAAAGTTGCCAGTTCGGAGGTGCCAAGTACAGTACCCCCCTCCCTAAGTTACAGTTAACGTCCGTGTCATCCCGGTTTTTCCAAATGTTTTTTTCCAAATCACTCGAAGGTATTCCCGTTTCGGGAAAGGACAGGAAGGGGGGATGCGCATGCGAGTTTTCCGTGAAGAAGGGGTGCATATCATATTGGAAGGAATCCATTTATCATACTCCTTATGCCTCAGGAAATGGAAAATCTGGACCGAAAGGGTATTCGCTACCCCGGAGAACTCGAACCGTGCGCTCTCGTCCGAGTTTCCTCCCTCCCCGGTACGGTACGGTATCTTACAATTTTCTTTTTTGGTCTTTCGTGTCTTTCAGTGGACTGAACACAACTTATCATACCTCATGCTGTGTTTTTAGCCCCTTTTTCTGGAGAAGGGAATTTTGGACTTGGTTTTGCACGACATTTGATTATTTGAGATCCCACCGTGTTGAATGCTCACTAACAGGATGCTGGGGTTATTAGAGGGGAGGGACATAGATTTCTAAAAAGTTGTATGTAGAGTATGGATGTGGACCGAATTGCACAAGTGCTGAGGGCTCTGATATGAGTAGATGCAAAGATTAGTAATATTTATATCCATACTCCTACTATGATACTCTCTCAGAGCACTTGTATGCAGTGGCTAATATAACAACCACATCCAGCAGCCTCATCCATAACTTTACCCCCTCAATTAGTCCCACCTACACAACAAGTCCAATAATTTCTCCTTCTCCGTCCTTGTCCTCCCCCCTTGCGCGCAGTAAATTTAAAAAAGACATTCGTCCATCGAATCACAGCCCGAGTCACTCATTGTAAAGATACGGTAGCTTCGTGACACTCATCATACCCCCGAGTCCGGGATCCAACTTTTCATCCACGACACAATCAGACCTCTTTCTCGGTGAGGTATCGGCTTTGATATACAAGCGCAACAAGGCGCGGGGTAGCACATGGCTCTGCAGCACCTTTGCGGGCTTGCTTCGCGCAACATAGCAGAGCCTGAATGGCGATTTGGGTGGGTGGCTGCACCGGGTAGGCAATGGGCAAAACTATATACTCGTTCTTATTATACAACCCCAACGCCGGGACAATAGTGCCTCCAGGGAAGAGTGAGAGTCAGTTCAGATGGCGCAGGTGTGTCAGCGGAACACAGAACATCTCTTCTTACCTCCTTACGCCAGAGTACTCCAACACCGGTACCATCCGTCTGCCCAGGCTTGTTTTGCGCGGTTAGTGCGATCCTCCACCCCGTAGCATGTGGTACTGTACCTATCAATACAGATCCAGTCTTGCTCTCTGCCAAGCATACGAGTACAGTACAATTTTGGTATCATGCGTATTCCAGCTGTGATTTACTCCTCTGAACATACAAAGGCACCTTGTTCTTAACAACCGGTGGTCAGCGTCTACCGTGTGATTTCTTTTCTCTTGAAAACTTATCTCCTCTCATAATATAGTCACTGAACATTATCATAGGTAGACCGTTATCTTAAGCTTAGATGAAAAAGACCTACGTAGTATTACAGTACAGTACCTGGATACTCAACTAGCGTGGTGGATAAGATGCCAAGAAGCGACCATCAGTCGGAGTCCAGGGATACAATTCCCACCTTACAGTCGTACTTTACAATGTGCTACGGGTATTGTTGAACGATACATCACGTGGTGCAGGGGAAACCAACAAATCTTACCCTATGGAGTCTGGGAGATTGAAGACCGTAGCTTTTTTTTTTAGAGAAATCGGCAGGCTACCAGGTGGTAGAATACCACTCTGGGCCATATTGATGGCTGGGTTGGTCTGTCGGTGTCCACGGCTGCTCGCCAAAGTCCACAAATTTACAACACTCCAGGAAAGGAGGTGCGAAAAGCCTTCTATTAGTGAGATATGAGGCCTGCTGAGTAGAGACTTGGAGGTTTGACAGCCGGGGGGGAGTGTGTGGAGTGATGAAAACCCCCATTGCATTGTCTGTTGGATATTACTTGATCACCATAGTACTGTACGAGGTACAGCACAAATTCTACCACGTAATGCATTCCTTCTCTGAGCATGTGATTTTGTATGAACAAGCGCATCATCCCATGGCCTTTTCGCAATGCCATCATTTCCACTCTCAGTATTTCTGATGGCAGAAGTTGGCAGATGCAAGCTAGGCCGCAATATCTCGATCACTTTCTTTCAGAATATTAAAGATAGGACAGATGGAAAAGGATATGAAGGGCTGTTATTCAATGCTCAGAGAACCTGTAGGGCTGCTCTGGGTCGGCTGAAACCCTGCGCTATTAGTAGTTTCTGAGTCGTCAACCTTGAAGCGAGCGGGTAGAGGCGAAGTCGATTCTCCAGACAGATATCTGAATCACTGTGAATAAGTCAGGTCTGGTTTTTATCCCTGGTAAAGCCAAGGTAGACTCTGTTGTGTATGTGGAGATGGTCATGGAACCGCAATTGGTCCCATTCTGGCATAAGGCTTACGAGGAATATGGGTGGGTTGGCATAGTGGAGGATGGTGCCCCTGGGCATAAAGGAGCAGCCAGACAATACTGGCAACTAAATGAGATGGAATCCATCAAATGGCCAGCCCAGTCCCCAGATCTGAACCTTATAGAAGCCCTATGGCTAGATATAGAGTCAGAACTGGGGGAGACCTGGGGAAGGATTGGGAATATTCCAGCCTTGGAACGGGCATTGGAATGTGTTTGGCAGGGGATCCCCGGTGAACACCTGCTGGACTTGATTGATAGTATGCCTCAACAGTTGCAAGCTGTTATTGATGCTGGGGGAGGTGAACGGTATATTAGTTGACTCGGGGGTAGCAGATAATTTATTAGTTTAATCTAGTGAATCGCATGTAGGCTCTATAGAAAAAGTGAAAATGCGACCGTGGTCACAAGATATCACTCGACTCTCTCAGACCAAAACTAGAAGTGCGCCTGACTTTTGCTGGCCTGCGACCGTATTCATCACCAATCACTCCACTTTCCTAATCTGTTTTAGCTCCCATAGAACTACCCATGTAACTACCCCCCCGATCCGGAAGTGCGCCCGACTTATGCCTACCCCCGAGTACATCAGACATCCCTTCCCCGCAATAATCCGTGTTCCCGGGTACGCTGCGGCTGGTAGTCCGTGCCTTCCCGACAAAACCTAACCTACGGTACTTGTAAATTATACAACTCTGAAACCACCGATCCAGCACGAGCCCGGCTCAGCTTGTGCTGCCTTGTGCTGGCGCGAAAGCTGGGCTATCAAGGCAAGGGGCTGTACCGGTACTGTACTTGTATTAAAGTTGCTTATTCCCAGAAGGGGATTCTGTGCCACGGTACTGTACGGTACTCGAGGACTCGTACAGAAACACAGATAACTGTATAATAATGTATATAAGTCTACACAACCCCGAACTTCCTAAAATGTTTTACTCACACGCCCCTACTGTACTCGTACGAGTACAGAAAGCAAGGCATGCGCGCTATTTGTGTGCTTTTCTTTTCTTTCTTTTTGAAAAATAAAATAAATATTCAAAAACAACTGGCGCCTTCACAAGTGTGCCATACCGTTACTATTCTATGATATCGCAACGCCTCACACCCCCCCTCCACGGTAACTTCAGCAGCAAGAGGGGATTCCAGCAAATATCTACAATATCATACAATACAAGTAAGTACAAGCAAGCAGTAGGGGCGGTACCGGTATGGAAACGGAAGCAAACCAGGGAAGGAGCTGGGAGTCATCGCCATCGCCTTCAGACCGGCAAGGACGCTGGTGAAAAGTGCGTTGAGGGCTCCCAAGTTATGATACATTTTTGCGATGGTAATTTTTTCTCCTTTTCCCACCCTCCTCCTCCCACTGTCCATTCACGTATCATATATCGCCACCTATGAATCACAAAAAACTACGCTAGAAGGGACATATGACTAGGAGGAGGCCATGGAGGTGTGGGTCGCTTTGGGGTTTGGGAGAGGGGGGGGGGGATTTTGTTATGGGGGAGGTCATTGTTTATCACTGTGCGGCGGGGGGCGGGTAGGGATGAAAAGGGAAGGTTCAGAGGGAACAGGATTACGGTATTGTTAGAAATGATCTGTGATAAGTCAAACACTACAAGCGATAGATGGTATAGAGTATCTGCACAGCTTATTACTGAGTACTGAGAGTGCAGAGGAGCTTAACTGAAAGCGAGAACCGGAGAGAGAATTAGAAATCAAACAAGAGTTGTATTAAGACCAATGTTGTTCTTGTTTGGATGTTGAGAAGAGCTTATTGAGAAGAAAGAAGAGAACTTGAAATAAAACAAAAGGAAAGGGTACAAGAAGAGCAAGCGAGCTGCTTAACCACCGACATCCCGGTAATCCTCATGACCAAACTTCCACAAACAATCCATAATATCCAACACTTCCCCGCCTTTCCAAACCCTGA